CAGCTTAAGGGACGCTTCATTAAAATCCAGTGTTGCTTGTGCGTCTGAAAGAAAATCTATTCCTAAGATTAAATGTGCTTGCAGATTCTTTACTATAAAAAACATCACCTTTACTTGTTCGTCCTTGATACGGATATACAAAGGTACTTTACCTACGCACTTACATTTTTCCTTTGCGCCGCTAACACTGTCGTATTATCCGAATTATATATGCGGTATTTGCGAAAATACTTCCTAAAAAAACTTCTGCCACACAGGAACACTGCGCGCCGGTATCCAGGAGTGCGGTGGCTGGGATATTATTCACCAAGACTTCAATCTTCGGAAGAGTCAAATTTTTCACCATTACTGTATTTAACTTGTAGGAAGAGGGGTTTTCGTGGCCTTCGGATTTCCGCACCCTCTCGTCAGCAGAAATCCGTTTTAGTTTAAATTATTTTTCCTTTCCGTGCTTTCCTTCTTTTTCCACTGGCCTTGAGACTTTTTTCCTGGGTTGCTATTGAACTGTCGACGTTCGCCGGCTGTTTTTGAATGCTCGGGTTTCCTTGCCCACTGATTCGCTTTTTCTCCGTAGCCGTGTGCTTGAGTTTGCTGTAGTCTTGGCGTACCAAATTGGTTTCGCTGTTGATATTGGCGTCTTCTTTCGACGTCCGCCGTTCTTCTACTTTCAAACTGGATTGCTAGCTCAAATAACTTTTCCAGTGTAGTCGGATTTCTTAATTCAATAAAGTCTTGCACTTGGGGCAGTAACCTCGGCAAAATCACTTGAATTATTTCAGGATCCGGACGGTTTCCATACAAGAGCTTTGAAAACGTGAATTTTTCTTAAAATAAAGCTCGAGAGGTTTTCGATTCTTTGTTGATATATACTGAAAAGTTCCGTTTCTAATTTCGCACGATCCCTTACAACAGGGAAGGCTTTTAGTAGGGCAGTCTTGAAATTTTCGTAAGTATAGGTGGGACTTCCTGCTTGACCCAAGAGACTTCTGCCTATACATTTGAACCAGTTAAGCGCTTGGCCCCTCAAAGCGCTGGTAGCTAAGGTAACTTTTTGAAACTCGTGCACGGGGTAGAGCATGAAGTGGTCATCCAATTTTTCCAAAAAAACTGGTTACCGGTGAGTTTCCATTAAATGTTGCTTCTGGTTTCATCGAAGCGCGCATGGTCTGGACGATGTAACCAAATCCTTCCAGGGCGGCAGCTGGCATTTCTGGATTCTGAGCCGTTTCTGCAGGCAGCACAGGTTCTTCTTGAAACTCGGCCATGGTTATTCTTCTTCGTTGGGCGCCACTATCAGGTTCAATGTTCCTTCTAACCTTCTTCGGAAACATACAAGGACCTGACTACGGAACAGAGAGCTTACTAAAGCTATGTTCACTAATTGTGGGTAAGTAGACAGGATACAGACGAAGGGTATACAAAACCCTTTATTTTTCTCTATATACAATAACTTCCGTACTTCGGAATACACATGACCCTCCACTCGGGGTCTAACGTAAAAGATATAAAAATAAAACTAAACTCTAATTTAACTTTAGAATAATAACGTGGAAGATTGGCCTTATAATAACAGGAAGCGTATGTAGCACAGAGAACTGTGAACACTACAATACGTTTAATTTATCAAGAGGATTAAAACCTCTGGCCTGGAAGGCAACAGCAACTGCGTAACTTCTAAGGTAAGCGGCCTGCTTCGAACTCACTGCTTCCTCTCTCTCTGCTTGGCAAAAAGCCACAACTTAAATACTTGGCGTTCGCCAGACAAACTTTGCATAAAAAACCTTAACGCTTATAATTCTGGCCGGAAGTAGAAAATAAGAAGTGATAGTAAAGATTTAAAATAAAATAACGTTAGTAAAACTTAGATCCTACATACTTCCCGCCAGTTAATTAGTTTAAACTGAGGTCTAAACGACCTTGTTGAACTTTTAGCTCTAAAATCTAACGCGAGCAACCTTTTACATCATACTTCGTTAAAACAGTATTGGTGAGTTTTACTGTTCTAATGAGTGGATTTTGAGTTGTACGGGCTATTTAATTGCATTTATCTTACAATGCTTGGGATAATTGATAATATTCGCATAAATATCTTTTCTTTTAAAATCTTAAATGAAGTTAATTAAAATTAGTTAATAGTATTAAATTTAATTATACTGTAAAATGATTCATGACTTTTTGTATTACTGTCAAGGCTAGATGAGTTAACTTTATGTTTTTCCCACTGTAGTAATCTGAAGCCGATAAAAATCTGTTAAGACTCATGTTTAGTAGGTAAATAAGTTGTTTTCTATAGCACATTTCTAAAATTTGTTGGATTCTGGGTAAAAACTTAAATTGGTAAAGATTCTATCTTCATTTTGCATGAAACAGTAAATGCTCAGTGGACAATGTTTCTTTCGTATTAGTTCTTAAGAAAAGTTTCTAAGATAGGTATTTGGTCTGCGGGAATACTGCAGGCAAGATGAATGATTTGAATAGTCTTTGGAGTGAATTGAATGATTTTTGGAGTTTTTCGCCTTAGAAGAAGGTATACTTAACAGCATTAATTAAATTACATACACAGAGTTCCTATAATGTAAATTATATGTACAATTATAGGAAAAGGAACACTTATTTGGATGTAATTTTATATTCTAAGGGGTTATTCCCTCATTAAATGGGTATTAGTAAGGAATATTTAATTGATGTAATGAGTATTATGAATAAATTTCTGTATTCGAGATGAGAAAGTTAAAATATTCGAAAATATAGCGGAGATTTTGGTAAAATGTCTCTTACTGTTTCTTCTTTGGTTGTTCTGTAAATATAAGTATATTGGTAATGATATATTTGTGTAAAGGTATGGATGTTCACAGATTTCATTCATAAGAGAATAAATTGGTAAATAAATTAATGAAACTGACACTCACGAAGAAAATCCTAGTATAAGAAATTGAAATAGGTATAGCAATTGTCTAGGGAAATTGAGTTGGAATGAACAGGTCGAAGAAATGTGTTTAACATTATGCACTAGAAAAAAGTAATCGATTAACATAATTTCAAGAGCTAAATGATAACAATGGTAAAATCTATGGTCATTCATCTCTCATTTGGATATTAAAATGTTTATCTTCGGATTCTTTGTGCATGTAACGTAAATAATCGGAATTTCACTTGACGTTTCATGAAGGCAAAAACTCGACTTGGTGCAGAAAAAATGATAAATTAAAATTTGCATATCGGGGCATTTAAATCAAAAATGATGGTTGAATGCAGTGAATTAGCAAAAATACGATTAAAGTATAAGTTCCAAAACATAGAAAGATTTCTGCTGTGTCAGAAAGTGAAATGGTTCTAAAATTATAGATGAAAACTGAGATCCATTCTAAAAATTCGGAGCCTACAAGTTAGCTTAATAGCAACGAGGTTCAAAATGAACTTTGTATTATGAAGGGCTTAAAAAACATATATTCGATATAAATGATGTAAATACCAGAATATGCAAGAAATGTTAAAGTTTGAAAATGCGAATGAAGTTATAATGAAGGAAAATAGAGAATCCGTCATGGTAAGAGTACTACGAATATAATTGTACAGTAGGCAAATTAAAACAGTACTATGAAAATACTGAGAAGGCTATTCAACGGATTGGGTTGGAATAACAGTTAAGGTTCTAAAATAAAAGTCAATTAAAAATTGTCTCTATGTTTAAGAGACATTGAAATATGTAAATTTAGCTGAAATGTAAAATCAAAGCGTGATTACAATCGAAAATTATAAAAAAGAGTTAAAATTTAGGTATTTTGGAACTAGAAAGAAACAATGTCAGAAATGTATAAAATACATCTAAAATTAATTAAGTTCATATATGGTAGGAAGATGCAATAAAAAGTTCAAATTAGAGTACTTTAAAAAATTACGAATGTTTAAAATGTATGAAACACGTTTAAAAATCATTTAATTAAATAGTTATATATATGGTAAGAAAATAGAAGAATTAACTAAATTAAGGATATGTTTGAAATTACGACGTTAAAACGTAAGAAAGAAGTAATTAAATGAAGTTATGTACATAGTATGAAAATCTAGCAAATTAGTTAAAATTCAGAGTATGTTTTAAACTAAAACATTAAAAATAGAAGAAGTAAATTTACATCTAAAGTTAGTAAAAGTTAGGTATATGGTAGGAATATAATCACATTTAAAATTAGAGTACTTTAAAATTATGAAGTTTTAAATGAATGAAACACATTAAAAATTCATCTAAATTAAATAAAATTCATATATATGGTGAGAAATAGAGCATTAAGCTAAAATTAAGGATATGTTGAATTACGAAGGTTAAAACGTATGAAAGTAGCTATAAATTAATGCGTCATGTCATAGTCTATAAATATCATAAATTAGTTAAATTCAGAGTATTTTGGAAACTGTAAACATCAAAAATAGAAAAGAAGTTAAAATTTACATCTAAAGTTAAGGAAAAGTTTATATGATCTGAAAATGTAATAAACAAGTTCAAAATTAGAACACTGGAAATTACGAAAGTTTGAAAAGTACGAAACTAGTTGAAAATAGCATCTAAAATTAAGAACTTATGAATCAGTGATTAAATTTGAAAATAAGCGCCGTTAAGGGCACTCAGGAAATAACCATCATATATGTAGTAAAATAGCTGGAACACAAAGAAAAAATACAAAGGCTAAAAACTGATTAACGAAGAACTTCCATAAAATCAATAAAAGATAATCTCTTATCAAAGTGTGACGTCATCTTATCAGTTAAATGAAGAATCTCCGAAACACGTATCAATTAGCCTTCACGTACTCCGCCTCTGAATTTGCTCCGCGCTCCGCCTCCTGCCCCTGAACTGTCTGTTTCACACTATTGACATTCACCGGTGAAAGTCGACATTCTCCAGATATCGGTGCATAAAGTGTGATTGATCTGTCTAAACTGTTATTTACTAAGTGATTATTTTCATTTTAATTAAAATAATAAACTTCTGTATATAGCTACAAAGTTTATTTCATTAAAATAATTTACACAAGTACTAAATTGATTGATGATATGATGAAATGAATACAAGGATTAATCTTTTAGTCCTTTCTTATACATTTCAAGCATACATTGTATTTTATACGGTTGATGATGCCGACGCATAGCAGGACTCATGAATAGATTGCTAATATTTAAACCAGTTAACCAGTGAGCTTTCCATCTAAAAAAATATATGTAAATAACGATTTTAATACAATTCAAAATTATTATTCCGACAATAGAAAGTAAAATTGATGGCTGAATAAATTAAGATAAGTTAAAATTAATTTATAATTTTGAAAATTATTATTCCGACAATAGAAAGTGAAAATGAGGTCTGAATAAATTAAGATAAGTTAAAATTAATTTAATATTTAAGTCCATTAACTAATTCTTTTTATAATTTATTTTACTTACCTATCTCCTTTTTCAAAGTAAAGTATACGTCCCGGAGCATAAAGCTGCACATTATTAGATGCTGTTCTTTCTTCTCTGTCCTGTAAATTAGTGCGAACTGAGTAAATTTAAAAATTTAATAGATATTGTGATATTAAAACATAATTTTTTTTGTTATTTTAACATTATAAAACTTTAGTTTAATTTTCTCATCAATGTGATAATTCATGTCATAAATTAAAAAAATGTAACCTAAGATATTATGTTATTACTTTTACTTATTTATGTTATTATTTACTGTACACATATCTAGAAGTATCTCTGTATTTTTATGTTTCCATGATGCAGTTTTTTAAAGATTTGATATTGTATAACATGATACAATTTGGAAAACGCTTAAGATAATGATGAACAAGTGCCATATTTTAGTAAATATTTTGACAATGAATGATAAAATTTGGAATTTTATGCACAGATTTCAAATTACCACTTCTATTTAAAGAGATGCTAAAATTTGAAATTCTATGTTAAATGAAATTTAACTTTGTATAACTTCTAAACCGTCTTTCTTTCTTTCTTTCTTTCTTTCTTTTTTTTTTTTTTTTTTTTTTTTTTTTGAGCTAAAGTGCTTTAAGTTGAATAATTTTGACATATTTTTTCCATAGCCAATTTTGCTTCATATGAAGTGAAGTTTTTTCATATTTTTCGTAGGATCGGGAAGAATTTTCTTCATAAAGGGCCAATATAAACAAGATAAATATGAAAACAAATATTCATACTTTTATTAGAAAACACAACAGTTTGAAAGCATATCTGATTTGGGTACTCTTCTGCTAACGGGATCGGATTCAGAAATGTGTGTATGTATGTACATACAAACATATGTTTGTGTATATGCACTCACATACATAACATATCCATGCATAACACATACATACGTACATTTCTGAATACAGTCCCGATAACAGCAAAGTACCCTTATTTGATTTATTTTCTAAACTGGAATTCCAACAACTTAAGAGACAATTTTAAGTAATTTTTTTAAAATACCTTTTATACATTTATACAAAAATAATTCTGAATTTTAATATTGTCTCCTAATTTTCATAAATTCTTTTTAATACAACTGAATGACAAATCTCAAATATATATTTTCAAACAAAGCATTAATGTTAATGTGAAAAGGAAGAGATGTTCAATTTGAAACAAAAATTTAAATATTATATATATCTTTCTGATTTCCAATAACTCATTTAAAAATATAATTTTCTATTTGATGATTTTTAGTAAGAGAGGTGCTATTAGTCTCAAAACTCACTTTTAATCCAAATCTATTTTCAAATTGTTGTAGTTACACATAGTCTTCCCAAACATGAGCACCTTGAAGTCCGAGTTTTGAATTTGTTTTTGATTTATTTCACACTTTGTATGAATTTAACAAACTTTTTATTGGCTAACTCAGCGATTGGAAAACAAAAAGTGGCTGCATTGTTAAAAAGAAAACATTTTTGTTTTCAGGGCACCAGACTGTTGCCATTTAGCAAAATGATAGATATTTATCTTTCAATTTTATCAACAAGCTTGGCTATTTGAAAGAAAGATTGTTGTCACCATCAGAAAAACAATACTTTTATTTTCCATGCTTTTCCCATTTAGTAAGCCTAAAGTACTTGATCTGGAAAGTCACTGAATAACAAACTAAGCTATTTAAAAGCAATAAACACAGTTCTTAACAATATTTTTTTCTATTTTTTAATATGATTGAATTAAATGAAAATGAATTAATATCATAAGATATCTAATCAGAAATATTAAATATCATTATGAAATTACCCTAACTGGATTGACTTAAATACTTCTTTCTTTTTTTGGTTTTCAATTTTAGGCAGCTGGCCGTGTGGCTAGTTTTCAAAAAAAAATATTATAATGAATATCAAGAAATGTATGGCAACCTGTAACACTCTGTCAGGAACTCTAAAGGTATGCTGTTTTTAAATATTTTGTGATTTTTCTGTTGAAGTTTATGCGGCGCAGGTGCAACGAATGTAATGTTTAATAAATAATAAAAGGAAAAAAAGTTTTGTAAGAAAACAGAACATTGATAGGATGAACCCCCCTTAACACTGCATCAGGAAGTCTAAACATATATTGGTGTGCTACTTTTAAAAATTTTGCAATTTTGCTGTTAAATTGTATGTGGCATAATTGCATAGAAAGCAATGCTCGATAATAAAGCTAAAAAGAGAGAGAGAGAAAAAGAAAAAAAATGTTAGCAGGTGTTTATGTGAGTATCGTTTGCTTCATTTTATTGTTGCAAACAGCGTAAATTCCTTTTGTTTTTCTTCTTCTTTTAGTTTTGAACTTTATGTGTGGCAACAAGATAATTTGATTGATAGAATTGTGTTTGTGACAGCCATGTAGAATGGCTCGCTTATTTTGTATCAATTATTTCGCATCGCTGACAAGTGTAATTTAATAAAAGCGTAGGAATACAGTCCATTTGTTGATTGATTATAGTTTGTGAAACATATTAAGTTTAAGAACATTTATTGTTGGTCAAAAGTCTAGCCGGAGAGCTAGTGAAGATAGTGACTGTTCTAAGTGTATTCTAACAACGCAAATATGCATATGGTTGGTGAAAATTATCCACTTTGTGAGGTAAGTGGATTTTGAACAAAAATTCGTTTAATTTGTTGTTAAATTTTAAGAACAATGTTGTAATACAACATAGAATTCGATTTCATTTTAATAATAGTGTTAAGTGATTTAAGAACAATTTCTGTTTTTGAATTGATCAATTATGAGTGAACTTATAACTTTTAAAACAAAAAGAGCGGTCTTACGCAGGAGTGTTACTAATTATGTAAAGAAAATTGAAACTATTTTAACTGCAGATGAAATTAATTTAATAGAACTAGAGGAATGTGTCGAATTATTGAAACAAAAAGAAACTGAGTTAAGGAAGCTTGATTCTGAAATCGAAAGTTTAATTACAGATACTAAAGAATTAGAAAACGAAATAGATAATGTTCAGGAGTACACAGATAAAATTTATTTGTGGAAATTTAAAGGTGAAAAAATATTAAAAAATCAAAATAATAAAAATAATTCTAATAGTGTGTAATTTCAGAACAGGTTCTTGACAATATTAAATTACCCAAGTTAACATTACCGACTTTTGGTGGTAATATTACAGAATGGATAGCTTTTAAAGATCTTTTCAGTGCTTGTGTAAGAAATAATACAAATTTATCTAATGCTCAAAAATTGCAGTATTTGAAGGCTTCGTTGAAAGGTGAAGCATATCGCATTATTCAAACCATTCAAATTTCGGATTGTAATTTTGAAATAGCATGGAATCTGTTAGACGAAAGATATTCAAATAAGAGAGAACAAATTTTTGCATATATTAAACGTTTTTTAAGTTTACCAACTATTCAAAATGAATCAGCATTTGCTATTTTAAATTTAGTTGACAATATTAATGAAGTAATTCGTTCTTTAGAAGTATTGAATCAAACCATTGATAATTTTGGTGACACTTTAATGACTTATTTAATTTTGCAAAAATTAGACCCTTCTACAAAATTATGGTGGGAACGTCAGTTAAAATCTAATGAAATTCCAAAACTTACGACTTTAATTGAATTCCTAAAAAACTATGCAAGAACACTTCAAAATAGCAAATCAACAAGTAATAAGGTACCTAAATCTGTGTTTCAAAATAAGAATAATGTTCTGGTTGCTACTTTGGGTTGTGGTTATTGTAAAGAAGATCATAGTTTAGCCAAATGTTCGAAATTTCTAAATTTATCGGTTCAGCAAAGGATAGAATTTGTAAAATCTAATCGTTACTGTTTTAATTGTTTATCTAATATGCACTTGCTCAAAAAATGCAAGAGTTTAAATACATGTCAACATTGCTTTAAGAAGCATCACAGTATTTTGCACATTGTAAATAATTCAAAGAATAAAACTCAGTTAAACAGTATATCTCCGCCTACGCAATCTATCCCTAAAAGAGATGAATTAACGAGTCCTAAGGACGTTTCAGCCACAGTTGTTTGTGCCTCTCATTATGATTCGAATGCAAAAGGTAATCAAACCAGTCACATTTTATTGTGTACTGCTTTAATAAAAGTTCAAAATTCTAAGCAACAATTTGTGAAGTGTAGATGTTTATGTGACACTGGATCTCAGAGATCATTTATTTCAAGGGATTGTGTGAAGAAATTAGGATTACGAGTGAAAGATAATTCCATTTCTGTATCATGTCTAGGAGAATTTAATACTATAAGTAATGGGGAAGTCGATTTAGTATTCACTTCTCATTTTAAAAGTGATATTCGTGTATCAACATCAGCGTTTGTACTGGACAAGGTGACAGATAACATTCCCTATGTATGTATCTTTGCCATCAATCATCTTCGATAACTTCAGTGATTTACAATTAGCTGATCCATTATTTTACAAGTCACAACCAGTTGACATTTTATTTGGAGTAAATGTATTTCTGCATTTAATGACGGGAGAAATTGTCAAACGTGGTCCTGATCTACCATTTGCTCTAAATTCGAGGTTGGGATGGATAATTTCGGGTACTACAAATTTTGAATCTACAAATTTTGAGCCAGTATATGTAAATCATTTGAATACAAACACAGATGAGTTAGTAAATTCTTTCTGGGAGTTAGAAAAGTTTCCAAATGTACAACCTTTAACAAATGAAGAAAAACTTTGTGAAGAACATTTTAAAAACTCGCATTTTAGAGACACATCAGGTCGTTATTCAGTTGCATTACCATTCAAACATAATAGAGATATTCTAGGTGACTCCCGTGAAGTGGCGTACAGAAGATTTCAATACTTGGAGAAGAGGCTGTTATCTATGAAAGAAATTTACAACCAGTATATTCAGTTTATGAAAGAGTACTTTTCACTAGAACACGTAGAATTAGTGCCAGACACAGATTATGAATTAGAGAATAAACACTATTATATCCCACATCACTTCGTGTTGAAGGACTCTAGCTTAACAACAAAATTGAGAGTTGTTTTCGATGCGAGCGCTAAAACAACCACAGGTGTTTCTTTAAATGATACGCTAATGATAGGCCCAAAAATACAAGATGACTTAATTTGTATTTTACTAAGATTTAGACTTCATAACATTGCAATAACCGCTGATATTAAAATGATGTACAGACAGATAAAGGTTCATGAAAAAGATAGAGATTTTCAGAGAATATTATGGAGAGATAGCCCGTATAAACAAATACAAGTTTGTCGTTTGAAAACAGTTACATATGGAACTGCAGCTGCTCCATATCTTGCAACCAAAGTTTTGAGTCAGTTAGCGATTGATGAAGGATTGAACTTTCCAAAGGCAAAGAATAGTGTTTTCAGAGATTTTTATGTTGATGATATGTTAACTGGTGTAAAAGATAGTTCGGAAGGTATTGCATTGATAGACGAATTGCAACATCTGCTAAAAAGTGGTGGCTTTGAGCTTCACAAATGGTCGACAAGTGAACCGTCATTGTTAAAAACCTCTGGCTTAACAAACACAGATAGTGACAATATTCATCGTGTAATAGAAGACAAACCATTGAAAGTTCTGGGATTGGAATGGCATCCGGACAATGATGAATTCAAATGTAATGTCGGTGTAATAGAGTATCAAAGTGTTCCGACTAAAAGAATTATTTTGTCATTCGTAGCAAAACTATTCGATCCATTGGGGTGGATAGCTCCGTTTGTAATTCTCGCTAAAATGATCCTTCAGCAATTGTGGAAATTACAGTTATCATGGGATGATCCTGTAACAGAAGAGATTGATCGAAATTGGAGAAATCTATGTAGAGAAGTTAAACTTTTGAATTCTATAAATATACCTAGGAAAATTCTGCTACCTGATTATTTTCGATGTGAACTTCACGGATTTTGTGATGCGTCTGAAAGAGGTTATGCAGCAGTTATTTATATCAAAACTTGCAATAACTCTGACATTAATGTTAAACTCGTAACAGCTAAAACTCGTGTAGCACCATTAAAATCTATTACGATTCCAAGACTGGAATTATGTGCAGCAGTGTTATTGGCACGCTTGATTCAGTCTGTAAAAGCTGCATTAGTTATAAATTTTGATTTAGTGCAAGCTTGGAGTGATTCACAAATCGTGTTGTCATGGCTAAGGTCAGATCCTAAAAAATGGCAAGTATTCGTATCCAATAGAGTTTCTGAAATACAATCCATCTTACCACCTGAGAACTGGAGTCATGTTGATGGAAAGGAAAATCCAGCTGATTGTGCTTCACGTGGATTATTTCCTGCAGAACTATTATCTCATCAATTGTGGTGGAATGGTCCTTCTTGGTTAAAGTGCAGTGAGATTGCCTTATCTAAAAATATTCTTATAGATGAAGAGGCATTACCAGATGCACGTAAAACAGTCTCATTTGTAGTTTCTGAACCTGTACAGGAACTTGCTATTATATCAAATATATCTTCATTTCCAAAGTTACAACGCATATTTGCTTGGATATTAAGATTCATATCGAATTCTAAAGTAGCATATCTAGAAAGAAATACGTCTTTTTTATCTAGTAATGAAATTCGAGCTGCAACTTTCTGTATTGTCCGAATAATACAGCGATTTCACTTTTTTAAAGAAATTCAATGTTTGGAGTTGGGAAAGGACTTACCTACAAACAGCAACCTCCTTAGCTTGTGTCCAATTTTAGATGACAACAAAGTGTTACGTGTAGGAGGAAGACTGAAAAATGCGCAACTATCAGAAAATGAAAAACATCCAATCTTATTACCTTCAAAACACAATCTGACAGAAATCATAATTAGACACTTTCATGTCAAATATCTGCATGCAGCACCGGAACTTCTTCTATCTTTAATTAGACAGCAATTTTGGATCATAGCTGCTAGATCTGCTATCCGAAAAGTAGTAAATCTTGTATCACGTGTTGCAAACTTAGAGCTAAAACTGCAAGTCAAATAATGGCTGATCTACCGGAATCTAGAGTAACACAATCGCGACCATTTCATCGAACTGGAATAGATTTTTCTGGACCGTTCATGATTAAACATCGTGCAGGACGTGGACAAAAATCATTTAAATATTACGTATGCTTATTTGTGTGTTTTGTAATCAAGGCAGTACATCTTGAAGTGGTAGAAGATTTGTCAACAAAGGCATTTTTAAGTGCATTGAAACGATTTATTGCAAGAAGAGGGAAACCATTTGAGATTTATAGTGACTGCGGTACTAACTTTAAAGGTGCAGACAAAGAAATCAGAAAAATGCTTTTTGCAATGTAAGCAAAATCAAGAAATTCACAAATTTTTGTCTTTAGAGGAAATAAAATGGATATTCAACCCGCCATCATCTCCCCATTTTGGTGGACTATGGGAATCGGCAGTAAAGTCAATGAAATTACATCTAAAAAGGACTGTTGGTGATACTGTGCTGACCTATCCGGAATTTCAGACCTTGATAGCGCAGGTTGAGGCTTGTCTCAACTCTAGGCCATTGTGTCCAACATCGGCTGATCCAAATGATTTAACTGCATTAACACCTGGTCATTTCCTAATAGGAACGTCTTTAACTGCCATACCTGAACCAGACCTAAATTATAGTTCCTTCAATCACATTGACAGATGGCATGTGAGACAGTTTATTTTTCAGCACTTCTGGAAAAGATGGAGTCGAGAATACCTGTCTCAGCTTCAACAAAGACCTAAATGGCAAAAAAGTCAAAACAATTTAGAAGTCAATGACTTAGTCCTCATCAAAGAAGACAACCTTCCGCCTCTTAAATGGAGGTTAGGGAGAATAATTGCTGTTCATCCGGGCTCAGATCAAAGAGTCAGAGTTGCTAGTATTAAAACTGGTCATGGTGTCATAAAACGACCAGTCGTGAAATTGTGTCCTCTTCCTATTCAGACTAAAAAACTATGAACTGCTTCGCATATAATATTTTGTATTATTTTTCTTATGTTTATCTTTATTACAGACTAAGAAGTTTCAAAATGCTCCAACTGTTGAAATCCCCTGGGATTTCAACGAGGGCCAGGATGTTTATGTGAGTATCGTTTGCTTCATTTTATTGTTGCAAACAGCGTAAATTCCTTTTGTTTTTCTTCTTTTAGTTTTGAACTTTATGTGTGGCAACAAGATAATTTTGATTGATAGAATTGTGTTTGTGACAGCCATGTAGAATGGCTCGCTTATTTTGTATCAATTATTTCGCATCGCTGACAAGTGTAATTTAATAAAAGTGTAGGAATACAGTCCATTTGTTGATTGATTACAGTTTGTGAAACATATTAAGTTTAATAGAAAATATAGCAGGAGTTAGTAGAAAAGCAGCTGGATAATCTGTGATAATGCTCAATGAAAGCATAAAAACCTTAGCAAACCGGTGCAACATTAAAATCTGAATTTTAATTAACATTCAAATCTTTAACATTAAAATCTGAATTTTAATGTTTTTAATCTGATTTTTTTTTCAAATTTACATATTATAGGTGACTTTGTATAATTAGTACATTTCTCAGGAAACTTAAGTGGTTCTAATAGCAGGAATGTTTTACGTTGAGAATGCTTTATATAAAAGAGCAGTCAAAATATCTTAAAAATGAATACGCATTATTGTACTTACTGTAAAGGTAATTTCAACATCTCTTTCATTTTGTGTATTAGCACAAGTTTTCTGACTTTTCTTTTCCGATTCTTTACCGTACTTTACAATATACTTCCAGAAACCTCTCATAAAGATTTTGTACTAAAAAAGATTTTGAATAGTTATAATGATTTTTTGTTTAATAAATAATAATGATTTAATGTTTAATAAATAATAATATCATTCTAAAACTGAGGAACAGAATTAACTAAGTTCAAAGTGTACACACTGAAAAAAGTAACATAAAAATTTGCATATTCACACTTGAAATTAGAAAGTATGCAAGATAAGATATTTTTGATTAAATGATACTTTTAAATGACACAATCTGCAAAGTTGCTAACAGATAACAGATAATTGTTAATAATAACAATTAATATGTTTAGGCAAAATGTTATTTTATTGATTTTTGAATTATTGCCTTCAGATTTTATAAATTAAAAAAAGTTCTTGCATGAAAATACCTTTTCTTTTCTTTAATTAATGAAACATTAAATATTTAACTAAATCTTTTACATTTAATTTAAATGTCAGTTTTTTTTTGCATTTCAGAACAACAACAAACTCATGTAACAGCACTTTTAGAAATTTCAAATTTACAAATTCTACATCTTTATAAGAAGTTGCATTAATCCTGAAAAGTATACCATAGAAGTAACATTAACCTCTGCTTTGATTTATGAATTACACATTCATTCTTTCTTATAACCTCGACTTTTCTTTCTCTTCTTGCAGTTTCCCTTAGAGTACTAAAAATTTGAGTGGAGAAACGGGACAGTGACTAGCATATAAAACCAGGATATTTATGAAAAGTGAAATTTCCAGAAAACATGAAAGCCTTGATTATGAAAACCAAGAGGCAAAAGTATTTCTATGATAAAAACCACCTAAAGAAACAAACCAATATTTTGATTTGGTTCTGGTTGGTTGCAAAAAATTACATTCTGATCTGGTCTGAATATTCAGAAATGGCAGAAGTAAATACGTCTACCATTATTGAATGGAAAGAAAAGAGGCTAATGTAGTTATTTAGGGAATATTTGAAAGAAGATGTTTTTAATGCAAATGAGAATGATTTGTTTGTTGAAAATCAACTGCACTTTCATTTGAAATTGAACCGTAAATGCTCCAAATGCTAAATGGATGTGCTTACCATTATATCACAAAAGCTGAAGAGGCGGAATGACTTCTTTGGAGACTGCAATCTGCGATAAATAATTCTTTCGAAAATTTTACTAAATCCACTAAGTAAGCTTATGAGGATATATTCTCTCGACTTAGTTGTATCTTTACCAGGTTTAGGTATTCATTTAATTTTTGCATATTTCCAAAAATCCAGATTATAAGAATGAGTCAGGCATGCATTACTTATATGGAATATCATCCTGGCCTGGTGGTTTGGAAAGACAATGCATAGCCGCTTTATATACTCCATCAGCCTCGCACGGGCAGTGGTTTTGTTCTTGAGCGAGCCCATTTTTATAGATGGGGGGAGGGTCATAATGTAATGGCTCTTTGGTGTATATTATATATTTAATCTTAAGATGATAAATTTAAGATTCCAATAATTTGGGGTTAATTAGTCTTATGCTACTAGTAGCGCAATTAATATCAACTAATATTTGTTATTATTTCATAGGAATAATTTCAGCTAACACATTTTGAAACTGATTAATATAAGACAAAATTACTTGCTCTTAGTACTAACCTTTGGAATTTTTGTTTCTTCCAATGACCTTAGAATTTCTGCTAGTAATTTCTTGCAGGAATTGGCACAAAGACAAGGTACAATATCATCACCTACAACAATTGTAAATATAAAATCTAAGGTATTTGGTATCATTTCAACCGAAAGAACAGCAAGTGGCGCATAAATAAAACATTGCAGATTTGGATATTTGGGACGAAGCATAAGACCTAAGACAGCTGCAATGCTACCACCTAAACAGTGTCCTGTAATTCCAATAGCATAGGAAGGATTTTCAGCAAGAGCAACTTCCAAAATATTCAAATCATTTAATTTCTTTTCTAAAAATAACGCACTGTGTAGTACACCACGGTGACACTTAAAACTGGAAGCTGTGTCCTCAGATGGAAAATCTTGAATTTCTGCATTAATTACAGTAAGTAAGTCAGAGAAAGACCTTGTCCCACGAATTGCAATTATGATGTATTTTTTCTGGTGATCTACTGCAACATAAAACGCTGGTTCTTCTGAAGAATTTCCAAATGAAGCATATAAAATATCTGAATCTGATAAACCTGTGATCTTTTGCACTGCTGCAAAGTTATAGTAACAGCAATTATCCAGTACTTTTTCATTATCTTGCCTGCAGCATCTGAAAATAACAGATTATAGTTTATTACATAAATTTTCAACTGTTGGCGATCTGGTTTGGTAACAATCTAAATATTAATTATGCCAGACTCATTTCAAGATACAAGGTATTTTTTATATTGAGTGTTCATAAATAAATAAATGAGAAAAATTTTAATACTGCCATGTGTAAATAATTACAGAGATTAATCATTAAGACACACACACACACATATATAGAGAGAGAGAGAAAGTGAAGTTTAATAGCCATAGAAACGACAAAATTTTAGCACTGCTTAATTTTATTCCATCACTTAATTTTATAGGTTGCTTTTCAATTCTGTTTTTCAGGTTGGCTATAATAATAAACTGCTCTACATCATAACATACAGCACAAAATAAGTCCACTCCCACAACATCAGCCCCCCAATTGGTGGAATGGGTAAGATTGCAGAACACTAGTAGTTTGGCTCATGGGCATTTTCAAATATGTATAACATGAATGTAACCCTGTTTCCCTTGAACAGTCCTCTGAGAAGGCATGCTTCATTTAGGCAAATAGCCTTTACATATTTTTATTAATTAAATCAACTTAGCAGCATAAGTAGTATGTTCCTTTCTGATAATGTAGTAGATGTCTTTTGTTTCTGCAAAGAATAACGACATGTATTGTTATAAAAAATAAATGTAACTTTTGGTTAGATCTGAAAGTAACTTTTATTTAGATCTATGACGGGGTCGAAAGAAAAACTGTCCCATACTTTCCTATAATTTCCTGGAATTTTCCTATTTCCCCTGCCGAAGCACGTTTCTCCAACTTACTATCTTCCACTATTTTCCTGCGTTGGATCAGCCACTCCCTCGATAGACTCCATCATCAGATTCACTGACTCGGGACGAAGATCAAACTGACATGATTAAACTGTTATGCTTACACGGTATCTCTACGGTATAGGTAGTATCGGAAATCACGCTGGTTACTCTCTTTGGACCTATCCAATTTACCGCCATTTTGTGAGGCTTAGACGTGGCCAAAATAAGCACGCGATCGCCAACCTTAAACCTTCTCTTAATAGCTTTGCGATCATAAGAGTTTCCTTTTATTCTGACACTCTGTCATCCTCTCAATATCCAGCACCTAACACTTTTTAATGTATTTTCTAAGTCTAGAACACATGCCATGCCGAAGAGTGGTACACCTTAATCCAAACTTACTAAAAAACTTCGATGTACGTTCTAGTAAATGATCTATCCAAATCCTACTGAACCACTTTTGGGTAACCTGATCTAGAAAAGCTTTTGCTAGACACTTAAGACACTTAGGCATTTATTTTCCCATGAATCAAAGGTTGTATTACGTCATTATTCAATCCCCTATACACTTTTGATATAATGGGCACCCTAATCTTCATTTTTTATACTTATTGTGACCTACACGCTGACAAACATCGCACGTCCTAACAAATTCTTCAACTTCTTGGTAACAATTAGGCCAGAAATAATATGTCAAAACTCTGGTTCTTGTTACCCCTAATTGATCAGCGATTTCTTCGTGGCATAACTTCAAGATCCCTTTCCTATATATATATATATAAAAGGCACACACAGTTGAAATTATTCTCCTCTTTCTTAGAAACTGCAACTCTAACTAGCTTCCCCTTTACGATTCTAAACTACTTTTCGCTTTTCCCTTTCTTCCACAGTGCCGCTAAATAGGTACATGCGTTTTGTGTATCAGCGAAATCTGCTGGCGAAATATCCGCAAGGATAGACCTTTCTTCTGGACTGGAATTTCAATGGATTCCTCCTTATTACTTTCTAACTTCCCATCTTCCGAAATCTTACTTTTCATAACACTTCCGATCTGAAATCTTAAGTCTTCCTCCTTACTACGCGCCATCTCTTCTGCGCCCATTATCTCTAAACAGTGTTCAAGAGAATTGTTCGTTCCCTTATTTCCCTATCAACTGCGCGGTTTTATTTTCCAATAAATAATATTCTTTATCTAATTCCACTGGAGTAACCACTGCCTTTGTCGGAACCACACCAAAATTACCTTCAGAGGTTACTATCGCCAAAGCTAAATATTTACATTGTGTGTCCAAAGAGTGTTTCATTCACACGGTTTTCCTTAATAAGTCACCAGAATTAAGCCAAGTACTAGTACATAAACCTATTCCAGCCCCATTATATCTCAGATATTCTCTCTCTACCCCATTAATTACACCTTTTTTGAGGTACGGCTCAAAACACTTCGCTAAACTCTGCGCTCCCAAATTATTCACAAAATTAGCCTTATTTTTTTTCAGCGATGGGCAATTAGGTAAAATGTGCCGATCATTCCCACCTTTGTTTCACACTTAATTTTCCGCTGTTTCTCGACACCTGGTTCCTTCAAAGCCTTCTCTTTTCTAGAAGCCTCTGCTTTTCCATGTTCCTCCGATTTAATTCTTTGATAACCAATACTTTTCTGATTATCACCACCATTGTAATATACATATCGCTCTATAGGTTTCTCAAATCGTTTCTTAAAGTTAATCGTTCTCTTTTTTAATCTTCTCGTATCTCTTCGCAAAGCCTCATACCTGTCGCATTTCTCTGCTGAAATAGAAACTGTTTTACATTCTTCTCAATTTCTAAGTAGTGCTTTCTTATTTCTAGAGGGACAAGTCGCTTAATTTGCTCGGTGAGTATAAGTTCCTTAAGACTTTCAAAATCCCGAACTTTCACCAAATCCAACCAATTATTTGAATAAACTATGATTCATACACTAAATTCACCCATAATTTCTCGTTCTTTCTGGAATGCTCTTCAAATTTGTTTTTAGAGTCCAAAAACTAAGCTTGAATCTATGCATGGGTAATTTCTTAACATGCTGATAATCATTCCCTTTAACCGCCGCTTCTTTTACAATTAACTGAACTACATCATGAGGTAATAAAGGAATTAATTACGAGATCCCATTAATCTCATTAACTTTTTTTAGTCTGTTTCTCAACTAGCATGAAGAACAAAGAAATGTCTATATTATTCAGTTGAAGACGTGGTACTAGATCTTTCAATTTAACCCTCTTTTCTCTAAGTTGTTCAACTACCGAAATCGTTGGAACTAAACTATTAGTTTCAATCGCATTCATCAATTTTAATTTCTCTAATTCGAAAGCACTCTCTCGCTCACGTTCCCGCTCCACTCTATCTTTTTACCTATTTTTTCTAATTTTTCCTGCTTTGCTTGTTTTGTTAGGCTATTTTTTCGCTTTGAATTCTCGCTGTGCATTCTTTTGCCGCTTCCTCATCATAGTCCTCGGCGTCTGCCTAATTTCCTGAGACATATTTGCGTGAAACTCCTCGGCTAACTCTAATAAAAGAGCTGTAGTAAATTTTTCATAAACTCACCCATTATGAAAAAAATAAAGTTTAAAAATTAACCTACCCCCAAATACCACAAAATACAAAAACAAGTTAATTTCTCGAAAACTGAGTAATTTCTTAATAATTCTGAACACTAATTCCGTTAATGATATTCAAAACATTTATTACATACATAAATATAAAACATTATTCAGAAATGCTAATTAACATGCAAATTTTTCCTGCAATACCTCAGCTATAAAAATTTTGCCCTACTACTCTGGAGTGATTTAAAAAAAATTTCCCAAAGCACACCGTAATAATAATTGTACTATTTTAAAACCGTTACTAAAACAATAGAACAAACAGTTAAATTTCAGTTAACACGTATTTAACCAGAAGCAAAATTACAAACAGCAATAACAGAGCTATACCCAAAGTGAACTCAGTCTCGAATAATTGGCATAATTTCTCTAAAATCACAAAAATGGTATTCACCAATTTGAAGACGCCTTTGATGACTACTGGCTTGCACTTGGGTACAGGTATGGCTCGGGGGAAATCTCTACAGCTCTGTGGCACTAGATCGCACTTCCTCCGGCGATCCCTTCGAATACACGATCACTTTCTGAAGAGTACTCACTATGCGAACTGTTTTTGCACTCAAAATTAGATCGTTCTTGTGCAGAGAAGAAAGTCTCTTGACACTCACATAAAGTCTTTTACAAAATTGGCCTTTTCTGGAACTTCCTTTCGACGATAATCCGGAGCACACACACACACAAAATGTACGAAAAACAACGCTCGATGTTAGCTGAAGCCTACAGGCGTAAAGTTCGTTCCTAAATTTACCTTCAGAAATAATCCCAAACGCTGCCACCAATTATAATATTACTGCCGTGGTATGGCCGAACCCGCTCCCCAAAGCTCCTCTTGTAATGCAGGGTTGAAAAGAATTTTCAGCTACAGTTATAAACAACAACATGAATCAAAATCGTAAAAAACAACCTTGTATTTAGCGTAGGTATAATGAAACGCTCAACATATATGGTTATCTTTTGAATAGGTTCATGGATTATAATTTGTTTCTATTTCTAATATAAATGATGGAATACTCCAGTTTCTAAGCAAGAAATGAAACCATGATTTCGAAATTCATTTTTTCTAATAAAGAGCTCTTAAACAACTTTTGCTTTTGGAGATGTGAATTCTTTATTAAACAGTTCTAAATTGGGGGCTTATCACTTTGGCGATTTTAAGATCAGTTTCTGTAGAAAATTTTGAATTCCGAGATCTGAGAATTTTTCGACAATTTTTTTTAAAGCATCGTAACATTGATAAATTTCATTAAAATAATGGTAATATATTGAAATTATATTTAAAAAATAACATTAAAATAAAAAATTTTTATTTTTCGCTGTCATATAATAAAGTTTCATTTTGGCATCTTATAATACAATATTTTGAATCTGAAAAATAAACAAGGTATAATGCTCTAAAGCACAGTTTACGAAACAGCTCTTAGCAAAAACCAAATTAGCTATGTAAATAATTAAAAATGTCTTCTTTTTAATTTTTTCATAGTAAGAGGTTTTCTCATGTAATTGTCTCAATATGCATCAGTTTTCTCTATAAAATTAATTTTAAATTTTTTCCCTCCTTTTTTTCAAA